GGCACCGCCGCTCCGAAACCCACTGATAAGTAGGATGCTTAGACTCTCTCAAACCGTACAGCGCTTCCTTCCTTTTACCACGGATGGATACTAGGGGATAACAGTAATAGTGGGGAAAAAGAGCCTGTGAAATGCCTGTACATAGTATTTAATTCATTGTAACCAATTACTTTCCTTTGGTTCTGTTTCCTTCTTATCGTTTGGATTTTTTTTTTTCATTGTTAAGTCACAAAACTTAGATCCTGTTTAAATTTCTTTATCCCGCCCCCCTCTTTGCTCCCTCTTCCCCCTGCCCCTCCCCGGGTAAACACTCCTTCCGATGCCTCTGGAAATGCAGGGTGGTCCGTAGCTGTAGCAGCGAGTAATGGGTTTCTCACTTTCTCTGCAATTCCTCGCATGAAATAATTACGCTGTGCCCTGGGCTGACACAGCTGAGGAATAGCTGAGCTTTCCCTTCAAAAGAACGGAAATACATCTCGTAGGAAAGTCGATTAAAGTAGCATGACGCCTTCCAAAAGCAAAATTAACTGCCTCTGTATTTTTCTTTAAAAGGGGTAGCTCGACATCAGCAATATTATTATTTTTGTGGTATTCCTCCCTCTCCCCCCCCCCCCCCCCCCCCCCCCCCACCCACCCTCCCAGGGGGGCGCAATGCTGACAAACTCTTTTCAAATTTCTTTGCAGTTTCCCCCTCTTTCTTTATATTGCTGTAAATCTTTGTAATGAATAATCTAAAAAAAAAAAGATATAGACGACTGAATTGTTGGTAACCATAGTGTAGTCCAGTGAAGATGAATTGTGAGTTGTATATTTTACTGCATTTAGTTTTGGAATTGACTTTTTCATAAAGTAGCTAACCGAGATCTGACTTCCTGGGGAATAAAATGCACATCGAAAGTAAGAGCGATCTTTCCTGTGAACCTGTTATTATATTAACGAAGGAGAGCTAATATCCCTCCTGGTCTCCTCCCCCGGCGAAGCAGAATAGTAAGTCTTCGAATTTTGAGTAGCAAATCTGTACAATTAACGCATTTTTATATGGGAAAAAAACCACACAATTACAAACTGAAATATGCATCAGGCTAAATATTCAGTCTAGATTACACTCGACGGGGAAATTTCCTAATAGAAATTCAGGGTCATAAACGTGTGTATATTTTTGACTCTTCTGTAAATCGAATGTTGTGATTTTTATATTTGTTCTGTTACGTCTGTGGAACTGAATAATTTATACCAGTACATGCTCCATTGAGAAACGTTTCGGTTTTTGCCCGTTTG